CAGGTGTGACTAAAAATATGATTCAGATATACTATAAGTAAAAAGGATTTTATGATTTATTTTAGAGCACTAAGCAAGAAGCGTCCAGCAGAGTAAATGGAACTGAAAATAAAAATGTTGAAATGATTTGAAATAAATCTTAGGGGAGAGAATGCTGGAGGAAACATTTTAGAGATTTATACTGAAATGATAGTGATACATCAGAGTAGAATTGAAGAAACCACTAAGAATGCTGGTACTCGGGGGTGGGGAATGGATAAAATGGGGAAAAATATTATGAGAACATACAAATATTAAACAATGTTAAGGCACTTTCTAATGTAAACTTTTATTTATTATGAATGCTTTTATGTAGCTTCAGTTATCCAGCTCCACACATATACTATATACTTACACTACACATAATACTGGAATAATTGAAAATCTCTATAGTATGGATAGATAAACAGTATATAATACAGCATATGTTAAAAGTATACTTTGACCTTCCTTATAAAGTTTGAAAAAAGTTTAGTCATTTTTTCAAACTTGAGATTTAAACTGAATCTGGTGTTAAGAGGCTATTCACTATTTTACATTTTGAACAATATCAGTTTTGCTATATTTATTGTATGGAGCTTTGCTCTATAACTGTGAACATAAACAAACAGATATGTTGCAAGATCCAATCTGGGTCAGTCACCAGGACCAGAGCTTTAGTCTTCCAAGCTTTCAGACTTGTGCTGGAGCCAATGGTGCACCTCCGGTCCCACTGACCAATCCAGATTGGATCATGCAACATTATCCTGGAATGTATATTTGCCTTCATTCAAAACAGACATGTTAATTAAGGCTAGTGATATAATAAGAGAAACATTAGAATAAATGCTCTATGATTTATAGCTTTCAATGTGTGAAGATAACATCTCTGTCCAATAAGAATATCATTACTGTTCTCCATACAGATAGAAAAGTAGCAAGAATGACTGATTAAGCTATAAGGATTTATCTCACATGCCTGGAAGGTGATTTGTAAATTTCTGATTGAAAGCATTCAAGAGGTAATGCTGAACACAATTTTAAAAATGCAATGTCACTCTATTCTAGGCAGCAATACGCAGACCATTTTTTTTGGTCTTCCACAGACCCCCGAGAGATTGAGTATTAGAATATGCACCATGCTTATTGCTGCATATCCCACAAAGGCAAAGCATCATGGGTATGTTTATAAGTGTCCATGTTTACAAGTATATTAATTTCTATCCAAATTCGCATCATATTTTTGTGAAGATTTATTCTTTTTGAACCACTTTAGTATGTGATTATCATATGGATATCCATTGGATTGTTGGCATTTAATATTCTTTTGGCTAATACTATACCTAGAAGTCATGAGGCAATGATTTAAGAATGCAGCAACCATAATCTACAACTGTTAGTCCCAGATGATCACATTATATAAAAATATATGTGGTACTAACAAGATTGATTCCATGGCAGAGTACCAGCAATCTGTAGACAATGATGCTAGATACATAAGACATTCATTGTTTGTGTGAAAAAATATAATTAAATATTGCTTACTAATTTTGTAAATTGGAGACATTTTTAATATGCTAATGATTGGTTCAAGATTCAACTTGCCCAGAATCAGGAATTTATACTCATATTTCAAAACCAGAGCCATACTTGCAGATGGCTACCAGGTAAATATAAATGTTATATAAAATGCAGATAAAAATTCCATTACATATTTTGTTTATGTTATCTAATATATTATGTGTGCAGAAGGTATTCATGGGAACACACATGTACAGATGCATACTCACTATTTTGGCAGTATTTATAGCTTTGGTCCTCTAAAAAATAGTATTAGTATTTTCTTTTGTTATAGGTCTTTTACCCATTTGTATGAAACTTTTCAAAAATAAAAGAACTGCAGCTAAATTTAGAGAGGATAGAAACTTTATGTAGGCATAAATGATATTGGCCCTAATAAAATGAATAAAGCCTGGATTTCTGTCCCCATGATAACTTTAGATATGCAAATAACTTTAGTCAAGTAGCTATTTTTTACGGCATGGCCAAGTCATGGAGTTGGACATGAGATTAAGGAGTAAAAGAGAATGGTTCCTGTCATTGGGGCAAACATTCAGTATGTTTGTCTTCGTTGTGATTCCAAAATGATGCAAACACACACACACATACACACACAAACAAAAGAAGTAAATTCTACCTGCAATTATGTTAATGTTATCGTTCTGAAACTGTGCTAAAATATTCATTTCTGACTATAGAAGTAGCTGTACTTAGTTCTTGTTCGTTGGAACTATGACTATATATTTCCTTTACCAGTAAGCTAGCCAGTAAGCTATATATTTCCTTTACCAGTAAGCTAGCCAGTTCATTAGAGAGAATGACTCAATGAGTATTGGGAGCTGGCTTTTTTTATACAAATTCCATTAATTAGGCTGATATTAACCTATTACTGTATATTAGCTGATGCTTCTGTATTTGGTTTGTAAGAATGGAAGGCTAGATTGTTGAGATATTTATTTCTGTGACTTTTATTTATTTTAGCTCACTTCCTATCTCAGTTAAGGTCTTCGTTTTTCCTCTCACAAGCTCATAACATTTTTCATGCCATCAACTTGCCTGGTCATTGTTTAATCTTACCAGTCTCTATTTCTTTCATTCTGTGCGATCTGGCTCCTTACACATTTGTTGTTCTCTAAGTCCTGAGTAGATGGAAGAAAGCATCTCATACAGCAGTGACAAAGAAAAAAAAAATGTTGTCTTAAAAAAATAAATCTCCTGGTGCATTTTTCCAGGACTATTATGCTTTTATCAAGGAAGATTAAAAAAGGAGGCAACAATGCAGCTACCTTTAATATGTGAAATTGCCATTGCAGTAAGCTTGACAATCAAATTGTGTCTGATGAATGACAAAACATTTATCAAACATTCATTCATTTTATCTAATAAAGAAACATTAAGGAATCCTATCGGTATAAGAAACAACATTTTTGATTTTGAAATGAAGTGCTTCACTTTTGAAGCTTCACTGTGCTTCATTGCTGAATATCTCTCCATACAGAAAGAGAAGTTAGGGAGAAGTAAGAAAGTTAGGGAAAAGAAAAATAGGTCCTAGGAACAGAATCACCAGTTTGGAACTGTGCTGATAACAGTTTTCAGTTTTATGATAATACAGAATTTATATTCATGTTTTTTTCCTGGTGACATGAGCGAATCATTGAAATAGAAGTGTCTATTTGTAATTGTCTGTTCCTGTACTAGATCCAGGATGGTATAAAGTTGTGCATTGCATGGACATAACCTGAATGTGGGGAAAATTGCAATTAATTACCACTAACATCCACCTGACCCACCAGAACAGGAGGGCAGGTTATGTTACAGGTCCCCTCTATTGAGGAAGTCCATCTACTGGGACCAAGAAGAAGGGCCTTCTCCATGTTGGTTCCCTTCCAGTAGAACATCATCCAGATAAAGATAAGGTCGATCCCCACCTTTTGAAAGGCCCTGAAGACATGATTTTGCCAGTGAGCCTAGGGACCCAAGGGTGATACAGAGCCCATCAAGTTGTTTGTTTGATTGTTGTCAGCAGGGGGACAGGGTTTAATGGGTTTTGTATTTGGAGTTTTACTTTGTAAGCTACTTAGAATCACTGTGAGTTGATCGACCATACATTTTTTTTCTTAATAAATAAATAAAATAAAAATTTTAAAATATGGAGTCCTTGACTTATGACCATAAGGGAAGCTGCTTATCATGGTCATAAGTTATGATAGTCGTAAATCATGTCACCTACATGACTGGCCTATTTTATGACCTTTTTTTGCACAGGTCATTAACTGAATGCCACAGTAGTTAAGCAAACCACTGGTTTGCCACAGGCTGTAAGAAAATGCCAGGTTTTGACAATAACATTATTGTAAGCACAGCATGTGACTGAGGGTCATTGCAAATGGCCATAAATGTTGGCCAGTTGTCAAGTGTCTTGACAGGTGGCTACATAACTACTGGGGGGGGCGGTATTTGGAACTTTGGAACTCAGTTGTAAGTACCTTGAACATTTGCTAAGTGAATAGTCATAAGTCAAGAATTGCCTGTATTCTCATGTGATATTCTTATATTCCCTCAGATGGCTCTATTCTCTTTGGATATATGTGTTCCCTGGTGGAACAGCTCCATTCACAATGTCTCTCAGACAATTCCATTAGCATAGTCTTCAGAGGCATAAATGATCCCTTTGGGTTATGAAACTTCTATCAGATGCTTAATTAGTAAAACAAGCACTGAGCTGTTCCAAAAGGATCAAGAATGTTCCAAAAAGATCAAGAATGTTGCCACAACAATAAAAAGGCTTGCAAAGAAGCCAAGACAGTGGTAATGGAATTTAAAATCCATTCTATTGCTAGCTACATTTATTTCCATAATAACATAAAGTAAAATCTTCCTCAAGTCCATTTCAAGTGCTAATGGCTTCATGGCACCTTCTCACATTTTGCTTTTCTTGGATATTTTTCAATGCAGCCAACATACCTGAATTTCCTCCATCCACATAACCACGGGCAACTTTGCTTAGTTTCCAAGATCAGCTAGATGCTACAGCCTCTTGTGGCATTATGGGCTTTTCCCCACCTTTCTATAACCATGACAGAACTGTGCTCCGATAACACTTTTTTTCTGATGCATCCTTATGATGTTGGCTTTATCCCATCAACAGTCCATAAGTGACACACTTTAAGGCGTCCTTCACTGTACCAGTGTTAAATTTGCATTTTCCCTTGGACAGTGTCCAAAGTTTGCCTTAAGGTGTGTAAAATGCTTGGAGGAAGGTCAGGTGACTCAAGTGACTGGGAACTGGGGCAGAAAAGGGTGGGGACAGCAAACAGCATGCGGCATAGTTTTCTGCCTACTCAGTGGTGTGTGGATAGCAGTTGAAACCAGGCAGTGGAGAAAGACTGGGACTCTTTCTTTCGCTTTCCCTGTCGGCGTTTATATACTGCAATTGTCTGTCTGGTCCTGCTTGATTTCGTTCTCCTCTTTCTCCGGGCTCCTCCACCGCTCCACTTTCCCCGTCCCCTGACAAGGACTCACACAGAAGGCGTGTCCTCTCGGGGCGGTTACTGCCGCTGCGGAAGGCAGCTTAAAAGCTATAAAAGAAGTGATCGAGTGCCGGTTTGAGCTGCATTTCCCGCCTCTGCTTTCCTCCGAAGGACTCGGAGCCGGTGCCGAAAAAAACAGCTGGAGCGCCGCCCGCGGTGCCTGGGGGCGAAAGAGAGGGCCAGGGCACGGCAAAGCCATAGAGGGCGCTAGGCAAGCCTCAATGCGTGGTCTAGCTGCCTTTGCAACATGCTGGAACTACAGATCAGCTAAAAGGAGTTTGCACACGACTGTTGGAGCTGGATTGCAGCGCTCTCTTTCCTTATGAAGAAGACACAAGTGAGTATGCAGTGAAGACGTTTTAAATCCTGGCAGGGATTTGGTGGTGCTCGCGATGGTGGTGGGGATGATACCTGGATAGACTTATACAAGGCGGGCAGGCGGGCGGGATGTGCGCTCCGCGGGGAAGGATGAAGGCGCCGAGTGTCCAGGCAAGTGGAAGTTTGGCGGTGAGAAAAGAGCGGGTTGTCTTCCATAAGAGCCGGGCGAGAGATCACCTTCTGGCTGGTGGGTTGCCTTATAGCGACGAGGCTGCCGAGTTTCTTGCAGAAGCGCCGCTAACTTTTCTTCTCCTCTTGCGCGTGGATTTGCGTGGCGAAGCGTTGCAAGCCTCCTTGAACCACCCTCACGCTTCTATTCCACGGGATCATTCTGATTAGGGGGCAGGTAGGTTGAGGAGGGGGTATCCTGGTGACGACGGCCCACTCTATGGCAGAGGGCAAAAGCATTCTTAAGGCCATTGGGGCTGGTGATGGTTTGTCAAATCCCTCCTTTCCTTCCCTGTGAATACCTGGTTGTTTCCACCTGATAGGATTCTAAATAACAAATAATTCTTTACAGATTGGATGAATCGTGCAAATATTAGATCAATAGGTAAATTGAAATTGCTCAACACCAGCCAGAACTAAGGGGTAGAAACTATTGCTTCTTTTAATACTCATGCAAAGAGTGCCTGTTTGGGGTACCCTTTCCTCTCTGCTTTTATCTATCATTGACCCCCCCTTTTTTTCCATTCCATATCTAACCCGCTCCTTTCTCTACAAGCTGTATTTTGTATTTTCTTTCCATAACAGGACTGGTTATAGAGTAGGAGAGGAGTAGAAATTGAAAGAAGATTGCCCGGAATAACAAGGAATTGCTGACAAGAGTGAACTAAATGTGTTTGGGACCCTAAAAGAATGTTTAACCAGTCTCCCTTGCAATAGATAGATGATAAATCGATAGATAATAGATATATGGAGTCTCCCAGTGTTGTTGCCTTGCCAGTTTTAACACAGCAATGCCTTTTTCATCCCACCCTTTCATCCCAATGTTTTCCTAGCTACTTTCTTTGGAATCTCCTGCTGTCTTGGCTCATAAGCTATTTTGGGTCTTCCAGATATAAGCAAGAAATGAAGGGATTCAAGCAAGGAAATCTAGGTGGGAAACAATGAAACAATGAAATTAGATTGTTTAATGGGAAAAGTTGTGAAACAAAGTTCCTATATTTTGGGATCAGTGAGGTGTACAGAAGTATTAATATATCTTTCTCATAATTTGAGATCTTGCTACATCTGGAATTTTAAGATGTGATAGCTCAGGTAGGTTGAAGAACACCATATCAGAGTCCTGAGGGGGAAAATTGCTTTGTGTAGTCAATCTATATTTCGTACAAATTATAGTAGTGGCAGTTGCTACTTAATTTTGCTTAGTTTGTGTATGCTAATGTCTGCTCAGAATGGAAAGTACGAGCTTCATTGGAGAAAATTCTGAAGTCTGTAAAGGTATGATGGAAAGGGTTTCTTAAAAAGGCAAAAAAAGTTACTTAAAAAGGAAGGCGAGTAGAGTTCAGTTTGCAAGCTGTTGAGTTTCACCCTACAGTTCCATTTTGCACATGTAAATATGACTTTGAAAGTTACCCGCTGCAGAGCAGATTACTGAAGCTGAGATACTGATTTTACCCTAATAACTGATGCGGTGGTCTTTGGTGGGTTCAAGAGTTCTTTTCTGTGGCTTATGAATCACCTTCTGACCTACCAGTTTTCTTCTAGTCAGAATTCAGAGATGTAATTAAACAGAAAATTTTTTAGGAAAGAAAGACGGATAGTTGCAGACAAATTTCTCTGATCTTGCTATATTGTGTTAGCTGATGGGAAAAAAGGTCAGGTCTCGTGGGGAAAAATGTCAGGTTTAATGCACTTTCAGAAGTTAAAATACAAGAAACCAAGATAATGGTTTATAACAAGATAACATTTCACATTTAAGACAAGTGGAAACAATCCTGTCAACAGTGTATTTCTCCTTGTTCTTTTCCTACGATGCACTGTGAAGAACTTTTCTTGCAGATTGTGCAGTATGGGTTTAGGTTGTCATCAGGTTGTGACTATCTCAGGACCTCTTCAGCCTTTGAGGGAAATAGTCATTTGCTCCATGCTACCTTAGCCATTGTTTTGTACCTTTCAATCTACTCTATTGTTCAGACTTCTGTACTGCTGAAAGCTGGGGTGTGTGTGTATATGTGGCAGTAAGGGTGGAAGGGAGGGGGGGAAAGCAAGTTGAATCTTCTGGTGCAGGAATTTTTCATTAGAGTTGGTATTAGATACTGGAATTCAGATTTTTCTTTTAGAGTTTTGGTGTATTGCAAGTCCATCTATATTTCTGCTTAGTAGCATAAATTATGGCTATAGTAGCATGCATACTTACTATGTGTTAATCCTTAGATTTAATCATTAGCAATGCATTGGAAGACCTGACAGAAAATTACTTATGTATGTAAATGTATTTTCAACTGGATATTTGATTGCAGTTAGAGATTATATAATTAACAACTATACATGAAGATATAAAATTCCGTGTTCTTTTATATTGGCCATTTAGAATTTGATTGTACCCATTCTCATTGCGATAATTGTGATGATGTAATCTTGTTGAAGGATTGTTCTGAAGAGAGGATTTGCACAGTTATATGCAACAGTAAATGAATACTAATATAAGAACCAAATCTGTGTAATTGTCATACCAGAGAAGGGTTTCAAAGTAATAATGACTATAAACATGCATTTAATTTTTTAAAAAAGCAACCCAATTGATAGACATTTTTTCACTGTCACTTAAAGGCAATATTTCATAATATATGGGGAGAAATACTTTTTAGAAGCGTGGGGTTGATGGCAACAAGTTTGGAGATCATCAGGCAGACTTAGAAATTTGACCTGCTGGCTAGACATGCAAACTTTAGGAGACCTTAGCAGTGGAAAAGAGCTAGAGGCAGAAAGAATACAGCTTTATTTTGCTGAATGGGTACATTCATTGCCAGCAGTTATATGACCTTCAGGGCTTCTCTGGAAGGACAGTCCGAGTAGTACAGCATTTTTGCTGTTGGAAGAGACTTTTGGAAATAATGAAATAGATGGTGCACAAAATCCTGGGGGAAGCCAGCAATTTATGGAGGCATAATTGTATCCTATTCTCAAAACATATGTTGCAAGGGGCCAGTATCCATTTAGCTTAGACTTGGAGCCACTCAAAGTAGGCTTTTGTGGAGCAGATGTATATGAGGCTACTCCTTTGAAAAGAACTATGTCCCTGTGCAACTCTAGGGTTGATATGCGTGACTGATAAGCCTATATAAATGTCAATTCACAGGTTTATAAGCATAGCCCTCATTTGTTAGAAACAGCAAACACAACAATCAAATCTACTAATCAGTGTTGCTAAGAGAGTTTAGAAAATAAAATGAATACACACAAAGAAAGACTCAGGTGAAGGACTGGTAAAAGTTGCTGTAGAAATCAAAAGGGCTAAATTAAAAATATAAAGAATTTTAGTTTCATTTTTGTCTGAAGCTGATGTTTGCATGCATACCCAATTTTTAAGTCATCATCTTAAATTTCATAAACCATGGTTTAGAACTATGTTGATTGTCTTGTTAATAGTCAGTTTTATATTTGAATGTGTTTGCAGAAGTCAGTTCAGATAGGTACTGTTGTTGCTGCAAGTACTTAACTGTAGGACATACAGCATAGTAATACTCATTTATTTAGTATTATTTGTTGTTTTATTTATATCCCACCTTTATTATTTTTTTAAACAATTCAGGGCAATGAACATATCTTAGACTCGTTTCTTCCTCCTATTTTCCCCACAACAGCCACCTTTTGATGTGAATTGGGCTGAGAGAAAGTGACTGGCCCGAGATCACCAGCTAGCTTTCATGACTATGGCAGAATTAGAACTCATGGTCTCCCACTTTCTAGCCTGGTGTCTTAACCACTAGACAAAACTGGCTCTTAGTATTGATGTAAGCAAAGTGAAGTTTCCTTGGGACAAATGGATCTTAACTAGACTTTTGTAAGAGTTGGGGCTGAGGAAGGGATTCTGTGTAAATTGGCACTTCCCTTGCATATTGCTTTGTTTCAAAACTGAGACTATTTGCATGGACTGTATCCTTTATAACACTGACAGTACTTAGTTTGGTATTTTTGGCACACTAGCATTTAAAACAAACATCAACCATTTTGGTTGCTGAAAGACTTGAGCCTCCTGTATTTACTAGCATGTATATGATTCAACTCTGTGATATGAAGTTATTTCTACAGTTTAAGTAGAGGAATTTGGTAGTTGAAGTTGAACAACCTGAGAGAACATGTAGTGAAGTCGAGATTTAAAAATGACACCCATTTCAAATATTGATTCACTTCACCTATCTTCAGTTGTGTTTTGTTGGGAAGCTCCATATTGCTAGTGGCTATTCTGTAATTTGCAAAATGCCAAATCAGTAAATTTAAAGGAACCTAATGAGAGATGGAATAAAGGTTATATTAATAGGGAGTTTTATTCCCACACTTTTCTTCCTTGAACTCAGAGTGTACTTTATTTAGTTAGTCTAATGAAACTAATAATAATCTATTTTAATATAGCATTTCCTGGGAATATTTATCCAAAAATCTTTGCATTGCCCACTTAAAGATTGTTAAGTGTAAATGTTAATATTATTATGTTTAGATTAAAAAATGAAAATGAATCCAAGAGGGGTGGTGATCAGCAAGGAGATCTTCCCTGAATATATCATTTGAAAACTACAAGCATCCACAGGTCTTCATCCTCAAATTACTTGTTCTGGCATGGATCCATGGAGGTATCAGATCTGCTTCTAAAACTTATTTGAGATCTGTAGTCTGGGTTGCTTAAATATGTAGATAAAAAATGAATTTCCAGTTTCTTATGGGCATTAATACCAATCAATAAAATGCCCTGTGACTTGTACTATTTGTAGTTATTCAGGAAATATTAATGCTTGA